GGTTGAATGTAAGGCGACATGTTTGGCCCAAGACTATAACCAGTTGATATATTCCACAGTTAACCTGCAGAACCTGCAGCTCTATTATTAATGAGGATATTGTTAGGATTTGTCATCCAGAACGTTGCTGGAGAAGAATCAAAATTTGTGGGAGTAAGAATAGCTCTTGAATCAGGAATGGCTTTTGTGACAAGACCTAAGCAGTTTTCGATTAAATTTCCTTCTTCAACTGCATCTTCAAGGAAAAACGCGTGTCCAAAGTTGTTATATGCAACTATACCTTCTGCATGCAAACCATGAACTCCGTGAAAAGTTACAGCTCGTTGGTACGTGTCATGAATGCTTAGCTTTTGATGTAAGAGGTAGAAGCGTTTCCAAACATGTGAAAGTGAACTGGGTAGCGGCCCAATACACCAGCCTGACCCATTCTTCTAAACTCAACGTTGTTCAATTTGATGTATTTGGATGTTTTCATATAAATCGTATGACCTCCAAATAATGTAAAGTCACTATCTTGATCTCCTTGAATGCGAATGTTGTGAGTGAGCAGACCAACTTCTCCTCTTTGATCAAACTCCACGACTGTACCGTTAGATTTTGTGTAGTATTCTGTATCTGCATAATGACTGTAGAGAGGAGTGTGTGCAGTTCAAAGGTTGTGCCGTTAAATCGTCTGATTATTGTCCTTCTTTCTGCTTGATTCATATCATAGTCAGTGGAGGCTAACACAATTTCATCACCAACATCCCACATAGTATCCTGAATGACTGAAATAATGGTATCTCCAACTTTAGTGGTTTTTGTAAAGTGTCCACGTAATTTGATGAGGTTTACCATGAAGACTCAATACCCTCCACTTGTGATTGCGATGTTGTTTCCTAAACCTTTTTCACTGAATTCATTCTTTTGACCATGCAGAGTTATTGTAGCGTTGTGTTTGTAGGGATGAGTCTCGTTTCCAATTTGAAGCAATCCTGTCACAACCATCGTTTCAAAATGCATTTCAATATCTATTTCGTCACTAAAAATTAAGCATCCAAACACCTGAACATCCTGAAGCATAGGAGAACTTGTATCCAATATAACTGTGTAATTATTTGGAATTGTAAAGACATTTCATGAAGTGTTTGATGATATTGATGTTTCACTGCACACAATAGAGGTTGTATTTGTTTCTCTCGTGGTATTAACTGTTCTTTCGAAGCAATCATAGGTTCTTGTGATTGTGGTATTGATGCAATCAGGCTCTTGGTACGTAAACTCATCACAGTTTGTGATTTGGGTTGTGCAATTCTCTGTAGTATTGTAGTCACATGGAAACTCACAATCATAAAACCAATCGCACAAATCATCCACTGTCACTGCAGTGGTGTTACAGATGGTAATGTTGAGACCAGATTCCGTGCTGTTTGATTTTGTGCATTCAGTGATAAAGTAGTGGTACTGACACTCGTATTCTGTGCGTGACACATTTACCTGTTGAACAGAACTTTGGTTGGTACAAACGGTAAAGTTAGTGGTTGTGGTAACAATCACTTGTGAGGTAAAATTGAATATTGTTTGGTTTGAGGATAATTCCGACCATGTAATTACATTTGATGGGCAATCATCCCCAATACCCTGTCCATATGGATCTACTGAGGTTTTTGCGAATATTATGGATTGCTTTCCTACACCGTACCATGAATAACCTTTGAACTTGTTATAAGGCAAAATTCTGAAAGAATAAGTTGTGTTCTGATCCAAATTGTATCTTGTATAGGAATTAGCATTATGTGTCTTGTACATGACAGTAGTATATCCCAAGGCATTCAATGTTGACATTTGGATTTGATAGTAGCAAACAAGATTCGTAGTATCGTTGGACAACTTCCACTTCAATTCAATACTGAAATGAGTTGGTATAGCCACTAAACCTTCCACCACTGAAACATTTGTAGCAGAGGCAAAATTTGCAATACTTGAATTATCGGATGGGTCACTCAACTCACTCAAGAGATATCTTCTGGATGCTGGATTACCCGAAGACCAATAACAACATGGATCGCCCAACTCATCACCATTGGTTAGTCCATCACCGTCCGAATCAAGTAAACAAAAGTCTTCATTCCAAACGTACTTGTTCGCTGCAAAGTCCTTAGCAAACTGGGTCATGGTGCCATTCTTAAAGAAAATGTTTGCAAAGAGAGGAGAGTCTGGATATATGGCTCCATTCGGGAGTTTAGTAACATCAAAGTCTGCATAGAAAGCTTTCGTGGATTTGGAATGTACAAAAAGCGAATTTGAATGATAAATACTAAAGTAAGAAGCGAATAGAAGAGTGAGTTGTAGGGCCATTATCGTTATATAAATCAATTTGGGAATGGTTTGGAACGGCTCATCCATCGGACCATGGAGGTCCAATAACAACTATGATTATTCCTAAGAAGGAATTGGTCTCTGAGGGCAGTCATTGCTAGTGTACAACCCACACAAAAATTGATGATGTTTTTACCAACTCAGCGGAATAAACAATGTCGACTCGCCTGTGGTGCGTCTAAGGAAATGTGTTGTTCTCGTGATATTTGGTCCACCAAGCCAACGTCTGCACCAGACTTCGTAAACGAAATGGCGCCTTTTGTTTGAATTTTTGTGAACCTGTTCACATCGCCGCCTCGCCACAACAACAACACCCAATACGGCATTGGCGATATTTGTAAACCTCTGTGGTTTGATCGACATGGGATTATCAACGATGAAGATCATGGAGAGATGATGAAACGGGCCATCAAAGCTTGTCGGATCCAACAGCGCTGGGACATTTTTATGCGATATTTGATGAATTTGTACAACCAGGATTTATTTTGAATGATACCATTAGGCGTTCACTTGTTGTTCATCTTTCTTGATTTCGTGATTTTCGAAGAGGGAGTGGATGATCTCTTTCAAAAGTATTCTTCGAGGATCGTTTTACAGTGACCTGCATTCCCGTTAAATTTGAGACATGATAATCTACATTCTTTCTTCGTCGGGTTCCACTCACTACATTTGCATGGATCAATATCAAAATTAGGTAATCGTTTGGACCCATTCGGTTTTTGTTGGAATCTTCTCATCAGTGGTGTTAGATCGTGATGAGGAATTTGGTGATGTTCTAGAGACCATGATGATTTTGTTAGTGAATAGTTGTTACTTGAATGGTTGTTTTTGTTTTGTTGATGAATTTCCGAGCTGAAAGTGATGGTTATTTATTGAGCTTGGTGTCATCCATTTTTTGTGGAATCCTGAATCTGCTGGAAATTCTCGACAAAACTTGAAGGACATTCAAAATAAATTCATGATGAAAATGAATGAAGAACGAAATCAACAAAGAAAAGAGCTAATCATTGAATTCAACAAAACATAATCAAAATGGTCTGCACAAGAAGCAACAAGGGATACAACAATTACTCTTCCGAAATTTCCATGGATAATATTGTCGGAGGAACACGACAACGAAAACAATTCAATTATCGTGTGATGCATCAATATGGTGAGGATCATGATGCATCAGAAGTCATGAACAATCAGTACTTCTCGTCACGACCCTCTCATAATACTTTGGAAATGAGAAATAAGACTTTCCGAAAGTAAGAGCTATCATTTAATTGACCTGAGAGAGAGCAAACAATATATGACCTCACCTATTGTAAATACTCCACACAAACCTATGAAGATGAAATAGGTTTCTGTTTCATTCATTCATAATTTGTTTTTTTTTTTTTTTTTATGTTGTCAAGTGCCACATTGAA